CCTTTCGATCTTGGCCAAATTAATGACACACACTCCAAGAAATGATATAAAGAAAAAAAAATATAAAAAAAAAGAGTAAAAATGCAATTTTTGAAATAATTAAATATGAATGCCAGCAGAAGAAAGGCTGAAACATTCTCACATGTTTTATTTTGGTGGAGGTAGGGTTACTTTTTTGTAATAATTCTGCTGTGTTTGTTCATTTCATTTTTGGGTCAACATTTTATTTGCAATTAGCTGGGGAAACATTCTATAATATTAAAAAAATGTTAATTTGATAGGAGGGTCTTAATTTTCGGGGGGAAAACGAATGCAAAGCAAAGGAAAATGTTGTGGGAAACGCAGGAAGAGCCAAGAGGAAAATGTAAATAAATACAATAAATTAGGAGTGCAGGCAAGGGAGAACGATTTAGGCAAAGAACAAGACAAGAGAAAAATTCTTTAAAATAAAACATAAAACGGCAACAGAAACATAGATGAAACAAGAGATAATTTCGTTGGAATTTTTAGGATTAGATTAGTGCTTGGAATCTCTTCAGAACTTCATAAAATAAACATAAATAAATGCTGCAAAAGCCCTACGAATTTTCGTAGCATTTCTTGCATATTTTTGGTACATTATGACAGATTCTATAACACCAATTCATAACTCTAAATGTCCCATTTTAAGCTCCCTTTTAAGATTGCCAAAAAGAGAGGAAAACCTTCAGCAAGAACCAGGTCAATAACCAGCCGAATGTGAAAAGTTGAAGTGAAAAATGTCAAGTTGGCAGACCATTTGGTGCGACAAATTAATGGGTTCATTTAGGTGGGGGCACACACAAGAATGCTGCAAATAAAAAATAGACAAGACACTTGCCACTTGAACCCGTGCTCTCATTAAGACTGGAGCAGACAGAAACAAAAACCAGAGAAGATACTGAACTTACTGAAGTTACAGCCACATCTACAGAATATACAGATACAGCAGCTGCTGCTGCTGCTGCTGCTGCTGCTAAGATGAAAGCCGCCTTTCAGCTGGCACTGGAGGAGGGAACACACAAAACAAAACAAAAACTCTCACTAGGCACTTAAAAATTAACGCTTTTGACAGCCAAACGGACTTTCAAATGTACAGCAACAACAGTGGGAGAGAGAGAGAGAGAGAGAGGGATTGTAACGACTGTGGAGTCTGCCTCCGAGTCGAAGCGCAGGCGCAACAAAGTGTCAATGCGGCTTTGGGGCAAGTTTAACAAGATTGGCAGCGACGTAGCGACGAGGCGACGCCGCCGCGCTGGAGCTCTCGAGATTTTTCTCATAAGGTGCAAAATCTCTCGACATCATAAAAAGGAAAGACACACAGAGACCGAGATGGAGACAGAGATGAAGATGGAGGAACATGCACAGCGATGAGCATCCATAAAAACCAAACAGAAAAAAAAAAAAAAACGAAGAAAACATTTTTCGGTGTTACATATATTTTCCTCGAAGCCTCCTAATTAGCCCCAAAAGCCGGTTCTTCTTTTTCGGATACATCTCTGACTTCTTCATATTTTATTATTCCTGGCTTTGGCTTTGGACTCACTTTAAGCCAAAGCAAAAAAAAAAAAAAAAAAACAATGGAGCCGTAAAAATCTGTGGATAATAAATAAATTAACTCCTTAACGATGACAAGAAGCCTGCTCGAGGGCCGGGTGTTCTTCTCTGTGTTTCTCTCTGGCCAAATGTCTCAATTAAGTTGCTCAAAGCTCATTGTTTCTGAATTTTGGTTTAATTTTCTTATGGTTATGGTCTCCCTTTGTCTTTTGGCGCAGAAATTGTGGCAAAATATTTTCATAAATGGTCCACCAAATCGGGTTAGTAACCCTGAATCTACACCATTAACCATGTAATCAGGGTCTTAATTAACTAATTTGCAAACAATTAAGCCTAAAGACGCCGCCTGAACGGAAAAGAAAATCCCAAGAAATCTCTGTGGGTTTTTGTTCTGCAAAAGTCGTCGAGTCATTTGATTGAAGATTGGCGCAGATTGGACGAAGATTGGACAGCAGCTGGAAATACTTATTCATGAATGAAGAAATTGTTTCCAATGTTTTACGTATTATGAGGTAAGTAGAAAATGCTATTATGCATAATATAAATATTTGTGCATCGAAAGAAAGAGTGAAAAGGAAAAGTTAATGGAGGAAAAACGAAAATTACTTGGGGTAAATAAATATATTAGCAGAACAATTGAAAGGAATGCACAGAGAATGAGCCGAGGAATACGTACTGAATATATATTTTTACAAGAAAAAATTGAAAAAATGAACAAAATAGTGACAAGAAAAAGCGCATAAATATGCCTAGAATATGTCTATGCTTTATGCAGAGTTAATCTATGAAATAAGGTACATTTTGTAGTTTATTTCTTTTACAGCATTCATCAATCCACCCTCTAATAATTTTCACCTCTAAATTCCCACCAATTGATAAACCCTTTCAACCCCATCCAGACTCCAGACACAACCAGACCCAAATCCTCTGCCTACTCATCGATTCTACTCCTAAGTACGAGTGTTAGTACCAGCTCCACCTGCCTTTGATTTGACATGGAAACCCATTCATCAGCTTTTTGGATATTGTTGCCAAAAATGTAGTTCCCACGTTCTGCCAAAAACCAAAAGGAACAGAAGAGATCTAAAACAGTTTTATAACTGTACCAAAAGAAGAGACAGAGAGACCGACCTTCATCACTATGAGAACATTTTGGACTCTACACCTGCCCGACAAAAAAAAAATAACTAAAAATACAACACTCCATAAAGAGGAAAGAAGATCTGTGCTCTGTTGTTGCAACCCCTCCTCAGAGAGAGACCTACCTCTACCTGCCGCACACGAAAAGCATTTCCAAACAATTGAGTTTTCTGAAATGACAATAATTTTTCCGCGCTGTGTCGGGAAATTGGAACAATGCCACAAGAGCTGCTCGGTGGCATTGCACCTGAAGCGAGCGGCTCTTCTCTTTCCATCCCCATCTATTGTCTACAGAGAAAATAATGCTTTTTAATAATTACCAAAAAAAAAACACAAGAGACAAAGAGAAACAGCAACGAAAAAGCAGCTGCAAAAAAGTGAAAAAAAAATTAAGTTTTTGGCGCCCCCAAAAACTGAAAACAAGTTCGTTGTCTGAGTCTTTCGCTTCGTTGGCGTTTTTTTTTGTGTTGTGGCTTAAGGAAGCGAGTTTGGGGTTCGATTTAACGCTTTGCAAACTGACAAATGAGCAGCATATCCTGTTGATCCTGTTGCCAGGAAATAATTATAATGTTGCAAAACAACAGCAGCGGCAACAGAAAAAAAGACACCTTTAATTGCAAAAATAATTAAAAACTCATAAATTAACAGCAGCCGCGCAGCAGCAGCAGAAAGTGCAAATTTAATTATGGCCTTCATTAATTAATTCATTAAAGAAGAAGCTGCAGGCAGAGGCAGAGCCCACAGCGAGGTGTTTTTTGTGCCACAAACTAAATCAATCAACGCCAAATACAGAGGATCTTGCTCGTTGGTCCCTAAGGACATGGGGCCAGGCCGGGCCGGGCCGCGCCGCCTGCTGATGGAGTTGCAACCGGTTTGTCGTCACTCCTTTTTGGCATCCTTAGAATACATTATGCAACTGCTACTGAAGTCGACTTGGACTGGAGACGGAGACTCCCTTTGGCACTCATAATTTATTGATTTTATATGGCGTCACATTTGTCAGGCCATTCCGCCAGCCGCTGACAGTTTTTGCCACTGCCACAGACATTTTGACAGTTGCAGTTGCTGTCATCGGGGGCATGTAGTATTCCTTCCTACTGCTCCTCCTGCTCCAGCTTCTGCTCCTGCTCCTGCTCTTCCTGTCATCTGTAATTGCATCTGACGCATGGCCAAAAATACATTCGCTTTAAATGTATGCCCCCCCTCCTCGCCTATCATAAATGCAACTGTCATTGCGATTTCCCGCACAACTGAAAGGCAAAAGGTGCTCGCTCGCTCCTCTCTCTCTGCATACTGTGTGTGGGTCTGGAACCAGTCAAATTTACGATTAAGTAATATCCGAATGCCATAATTTCCCCCTCTTGCGTTATTCCCGTTTCTTGCATAATGATGTGGATACGCGTGGGGCAGCAGACGAGTTTCCAGCTGATAAGGTTGCTAAATTATATACTTACAGCCCATACAAAAAAAGAGGAGGAATATTAAGCAGGATCTGGTCAAGGGGCTTCCTGAATTGAGATCCTTAAGCTACTAGATCTCTCTTTCCCCGCTAAACTGGTTGCCTTTTTCCGTATTTTATTTTTGTATTTCTTGTTGATTTAATTTCAGTAATTTTGAATGCAAATATGTTGGGCTCAAATTATTATAATGATAATTATGGGTTTGTCTTTGAATTTGTCTCTATTACAGCGAAATATTTTGTACATTTGTAGGGACCAATTTATTAGTAATCCACACGGCATATACCTCTGTTCATCTGCTTGCCTTTCCACCTGCCAACCATAGTCCTGCTTTAGTTAAGAATTCAAATTAAAACCTTATTTTGGGCTATCATTTCATTGCCATCTGCCACGCCACTGACTCACAGGGCCAACCCTTTTGATGGTGGCCAAATTTTGATGAATAGATAATAAATAACTTTAATTAAAACCCATACGCAAAGGCAGCAGGCAAAGGGTTTGTCCTTAGACCTTTCTTTTGCCCAGACAGCTGCAGCGCTCCACCTAAGCGAAGTGCTAATTATTCGGAAGAGGCCAAGATATATTTAAGCTATAACAATTATAATGAAATTTTCGTGCAAAAATCCTGATGCAGCTGCCACTTGTTGCAGATGTCTATCAGTGACTGGCCACGGCCTGCTCATTAAGCTTATTAATTTTCGGGGGGAATGAGAATTGAGTTTTCCCGTTGGTTTTGCATTAATGTCGCCTGCCACATGCAACAAAGTGCAGCGGCCAGGCAGCGCGACCAATTCCAATTCCCCCCAAAATAAAAACAGATACAATAAAAATATAAAGAGACCCAAAAGACAACTTTGTTCAACCCTTCTGCTTGACGTAGAACTATGAGCGTTAAATTTTCGGGGACTGTCATGCAACGGGGTCTGTTTCTTTCTCTCCCTCTCTTGGGTCTCTTCTCCATTCGATTTCCACGCTTTCTACACTCACATCTTGCTCGGCGTTCGCTTTGTTTTTCCCCTACCTCGGAACAGGTGTAATGATTTTTGGGCTTTGCACCTTGACTCTGCTTCCGTTTCACTTGTGTCGATAACTCTTTTTCGAAGGGGTTTGCTTTGGTGTGGGCTTTTGGGGTAACTCTTTTTTCTATACAGGGTGTGTGTGTGTGTGTGGCTTTAGCACTCTTTTATGTCCTCCTTCTGCCGCTTCATGACCGCAGCAATGGTCTCCACATTGGTTTTAGCTGTGGGTATAGATTCTGTATATAATCTAGCCAAATATTTCCATGTGTTGTTCCATGCTCACCCAAAATCCGCATGCGTTTCTGTTCGGCCGATTCTATTTTGATAACAGCGGAGAACACAACGTGCAGCACAGGCAATACCAACAAAAGTTTGGGAAAGTTTTTCCAGCTGAGCGACATATTGGGAAATTTATAATTATTTTTCATACTTGTGTTACTTTATTTTATTGAATTTTGAGCAACTGGTGACTGTTTTTGTTTGCTACATTTTATATATATCTATGGCTACTGCGATTGTTTGGTCGTGGCTGCTGCTTACGATTGGAACACCCTGTTTTTGGTGCTGCTGCTGCTGCTGGCAACCCTCTGTTTAATTGTTAAGTTTTGTGGCTAAAGACTTTATTAGCCAAGGGCTTGATATGCCAAAAGCATTTGGCAAAACACTGAAAGAAATTTTAGTAGCGGCGAGGAATTCGTGCTGATGATACGAGAAGATTTTGTCGATTATAATAAAAATCTAAATACCATTTGATGGTGGAAATTCAATGACGAAAACTTGTAATTAAAGTAAAGAAAAATTATGTCAGCATAATAAATGATTCTGCTATGTTTTTCATGTGCTATGATATCAGGACTGTGCTCATAATTTTACTGGGGTTTGGTTTAAAGAAATGCCAGCCATTCCCATAGCTAAATCTTTATTTTCTTTTGCCAACATTTTATAGAAAAGTATTTCATTATAATTATTATTTATTTATATTTATTATTAATATTTCTAAGCTTATTATTTATTTTTATTTATTATTAATATTAAGTTTTTATTTACTATTATTTCTAAGTTTATTATTATTATTATTTATGTTTATTTATTTAATATTATTATATAATTTATTTATTTATTATTATTTCTAAGTTTATGTGCCATATTTTTCGATGTATTTATTTCCATCAAATGTCTTGTCCTTCCTCTATAATTTCTTTCCTATTATTCTCAGTGTAAAATCCCCTATGCCGAAAAGGAAGAAAACAGAAACAAGCAGCTTGTAATACAACCGCAAGATACGAGCGCAACTTCCTCAATATCAATCATTGCACTTGGCTCTACATATGCTCGTCGTATACTTCCTACCCCCAAAAAAGACTTTCTTCATAAAGCATATTTAGTGTGTAAAGTTTCCGTTTGACGGAGTCAGGCTGCAATTTTCAGGTGTTGGCCATCAATGTGGCAAGGAACGAACCGAACCGAACCGAGCCGAACCATTCGACTGAACTGAATTTAAGCTCAACCCTTTCATTAAAGAGGGACACCAAAAATGATATATTTAATCCGTTCGTCCGCTGGGCTGGTCGTTGGCTCGTTGGATCAGTGAAGCGAAGCAGCAGCAGCAGCAGCAGCAGTTGCAGCAGCGACAACGACAATGACAGCGAATGATAAACCTGATATGGAACACACTTAAGGGCTCAACTTGGGTAATCTGCAGTTTGCTCAAGTAGAAACGGCAGCACAACCACGCAACCAAAATTAAAATCCACAGAAAGAGACAGCCAGAGATAGAGAAGGAGCCGCTGAGAGAGAGAGAGAGATAGCCAGAGAGGGCAGCCAGCAGCAGTTTCGCTTTGCAGATCGCCAGATCGTTTCCAGTCGTGCAGGTGGATTTTTCAAGTGGCTGCGTCCGCTTTCCTGACTTTTGTGTCCCCTTGTCCCCTGTTGTGTGTATCTTCATGGACTTCCTTCATGTCGCTCCATGACTCTCCACTACTCCCCTTCATGTCTCCCTGATCTCTCCCTGACTAGCCTGCCATCTCTGTCAGCTGATTCTTACCAGAGTAACCCAAGACTGCTCCAAAGGGGTAATAGATACACACATGTGTTTGTACTTGGTCTTCACTTGAGACAAGTGCATCATAGAATATAGGGTTAGGGTCTGGGGAGGGGGAGCAGAGTGCTACTTATGGAGAGGGCTACTTCAGAGGGGTTTTTCTATGCTATTAGGAAATTTATTTCCAAGGCGGAACTAAAGAAGAACCCCAGAAAAATAAGCTAAAAATATTCCTATAAATTAAAGAAAAGAAAATTGAAACTTATCCCAAAATAAATGCTATAATTTAGTTAACTTTCTTGTGCCTCATTCGAGACTACTTAATCAGATTAATTCCAGCATTTTCTTTCAGAAAAAGCGACCCCTAATTACATACGAATACGAATTCACTTTGAAAATAAAACCCTTAACGATTTGCTTATTTATGATTGACACTTTAAGGAGCATTTGTAGTTTAGTCCCCATATGTTGCTGCTTGGCTCGAAACTTTAACGAGATGTCCATAAAAATGTCACAGAAAAATCCCCAAGAAATGTCTACTAAATGTCAGAATCAAATCTCCTGCACTGTGCATTATCCATGCTTGCTTAAGAGATATTCCTTGAAGTAGAAAAAACTCCAGCCAGCAAGGAAATGCCAATTGTATGTGGTGTCAAAAGTCGCACAGCAATCCATCAATTTAACAGCCATGGAAAATCAGCACAATGCCCAAATGCCCTGAATGCCAGAGGGGAAAATTCCATAAAATGCAAAGATGTCAAGGGACAACAAAGGGACACACAGTAGTCCTTGCACAGTCAACGTTTTGGGGTGCAAGTAGAGTCCCTGAAAGAAGTTCAAATAAGTAAAAGAATGATTTCCTTTTTTCCTTTTGACTTCTTGGCTTGTTCTTCGGGGGAAAAACGAAGATGCCACAAAGGGAAATGCTGTCCTTTTGTGGCATGTTTGGGCAATGTTAACACACACGGCAAACGGCAAACGGCAGCTCGGCAAACGGCAGCTCGGCAAACTTTAAGCTGTGCAAACAGCAGCAGCAGCTGTCCGCTCTGCTTGTCATGGGTCTATGCCCCCCAAACGCGTGCCATATGCCCCAGGAACCAAAAACAACAACAGCAGCAAAAGGCAGAAAGACCCACAAGAGGCACTCCAACTGCAACATTGTCCCCATGGCGCGTCGTGTAATTAAAAACCGCACACTCTCGATGCCAATGCCAATGCCGATCCCGATGCCGATGCGCTGCACGCTGATCATTTAGTTATGCCTTGCCCCAAAAACCATCCACTTGCAACCTGCTGCTGCTGCTTGCCCTGGAACAGATTTTGATTGGCTTCGCGACACACAAAAGCAAAAGAAAACCAAAACCAAAACCTTCTCTCGTGGCAGCCGGTGACCATCAGGCTTCACTTTTGTCTCTCTTTTTTGACTCCCTTTTTTTTATTTATTCAAGCAATTTTTGTTGTTGTTGTTTCGTTAATTTCTCGTGCTTGTGTGTGGCATGAACGAGCGACAACATGCCACAAACATTCCACTCGATAAATTTTAGCAATAAAATTTAAGCTCTTCTTTATACAGGGTACGTAGGCTGCCCCTCCACCCAAAATGTATATAATTTGTGCTTAATGTTGATTAAATATGGTGGAAGGACAGGACACAGGCCACAGCCCACTTTTTTTCTGGCAAAGAAAAAAGGGTATAGGGGTGGAAAGTTGCCGGCAAGAAGGTGATCTCTGGCGTGTGCCTGGGGGGTGTACTTAAGGTTTATGTTCAGTGAAGGCTTTGACTGGATTTATGGGCCTATAAAAATGGTTTAAAAATAACTAAATATACCCCAAATATTTGTTAAGTCCCAGATAATAATTAAACCAAACCAATTCATGATTATTGACAACTATGCAGCTCTCTGCCGCTTCCTTATTGATCGGCACTTACAGCTCCTCCATCAAATGCCACTCTTTGGCGTCTTGGAATTTCGCTCTACACATAGAAGCCACAGCTCATTAGCTAAGCAGACATTCATGCGACTGTTTTACATAGAAACTGTGCAAGGCAAAGGCAGACCACGAATACGAATCAAGCAGCCACTGAACGAGCGAATTCCATGGAAATGGCAAATGGTAATCGGGTATGGTATGGAATGGCACTCTGGTAATTATTTGAACGCTTTTAAATCGCTGGGGCGTTGGCCAAAAGACCATAAAGGGCCAGACAGGGAGGGGCACTGGAGCTGGAATGGCATAGTTATATAGTCTCTCTCGCTCGCCCTGCCACGAGGTTGAAGCAACAGTTTGAGGCGTAGCAGAAGATCTACTATCTATCTACTGTACTAGCAGATACCATCCAAAGCAACAGTTTTGTGCAGCCAGAAATCTGTTGTGATTGCAGCCATTTTACAGGATCCTCAAGCTACGAGATCCTCTGGCAGCTGCTGCCAGGATCCACGAACAAAAGACATTACAAAAAGAGAAATACACACAAAAGTAAAGTAAGGTAAAGTAAATCTTTGCTGCATGTTAAAAAAAGAGAAGATCAAATGGAATGCCAGCCTGTTGCTTTCGGAGGATCAGCATCCTGATCCATCCAGGGGAAGTACCTGCTGCGCCCACCAACTGGCAGCAGCGGCAGCCCATGCTCTGTGATTCGTTTCATTTGTGGCACTCCAGTCCCTACCTAACCCAACCTGACCTGACCCTCGACCATCTACCATCTACCCTCTATGCCAGCGTTGCTGCCACAATCTGTTGCTCTTGTTGCACATGTCTCTGATTCTACGCGGAGCGTAAAAAAATGAAGGGCGAAGGGCAAACCGAATTCGATGCCCCTGATGCAAGGTGTTTCCACTGACCCTGGGATTTTACTCTCCCCCCTCCACGACACTCCTAAACATTCTTCTCTCTCTCTCTTTGGGAAACATTTGTTTTCGCGGAATGATCTATGCAGGAAATTTCCAGCACATGTTGTTCCACTTGGGCATCTCTCTTTCTCTATCTCTTTGTCTCTCTTTGTCTCTCTGGTAAGTAGTTCAATTGTTTTAGGTACAGTTGGGTTTTAAGTGCACCAAGTGGAAAGGTTCAGAAGGACTCCCTGGGATATTTTCCTATGCACTCAAAACGGATTTATAATTCCAGAAGAAATCACAAAAGTATCTCCATGGTGTAGCCTCTCCATTGGAGCTTCATTCACTGCATATATCATTTAATTATCTTCATAAATTTATAAATCGTTTTGCCATAAATAATTCTGCGTTAATTTCCGCTCATTTGCACTGCAACAACGCCCACCACCGCCTGTGCTAATAAAGTTGTCAATTCCGCACGATTGAGTAGTTAGGCAAACATTTTGTTCGCGCCGGGAAACCCCTACATAGATGCCCCCCAGCTATCCACCAATCCAATGGCACGGCACGTACAATGCCAGAGAGTAAAATGGCCAACAATTACCACCGTCAAGC